TCATTTTCAGAGTACTTTAAGAAAGTTAATCCTGAGAAGGGATTCTGGGAGGTGGGAGGATAGAATGCTTTCTGTCTTCTCTCCCCTTCTGATTCCAATTTATCTACCTCTCTTGAGCCAAGCAGCTTCTGAAGTCAGAAGGCCTACAGGAATGAGGGAGAATTTAGGCTCTGTGGGGGTCCCCATAGAGAGCTAGCACAGGATTTTATCTTCTCTGCACCCAGTGTACCCACTTAGAGCCTGGGGAACGAGGCAGGAGAAGCCTGAGGTAAGGCCCAGAATGTGGCCGATCCTGGGAAGAGCACAGTCTGCAGAAATCTTCCCACCTCCCAGATTCATGTCATAAAATGTTAATTCCCAGGCAATAATGTAATACTAGTTAAATCCCACAAGGACTTTTTTTTTTGGTTGTGTTGGGTCTTCGTTGCTGTGCACAGGCTTTCTCTAATTGTGGCAAGTGGGGGCTACTCTTCGTTTCCGTGCTTGGGCTTCTCATTGCGGTGGCTTCTCTTGTTGCAGAGCACAGGCTTTAGGCGTGCGGGCTTCAGTAATTGTGGCTCGCAGCCTCTAAAGTGCAGGCTCAGTAGTTGTAGCACATGGGCCTAGTTGCTCCGCGGCATGTGGGATCTTCCCGGACCAGGGATCAAACCCACGTCCCCTGCATTGGCAGGCAGATTCTTAACCACTGTGCCACCAGGGAAGTCCTGAATCCCACAAGGACTTTTAAGGGGAATTATTTAAGAATTTACTAAATATTTGATTAATTTCTTAGATAAAGAAGATTAGATATCTGAGAATAGGTAGGACAAGTCTGGAAGACATGTGGTAATGATGGTAGGGAGAGGGGGCCCACCTGACTCCACCTCAGAACATATTCTAAAACCACTGTAAATACAGTTCGATATGATCCTAACACAGGAGTAGATAAATAGATCAGTGGAACAAAATAGCGCCTTTCCCAACCAAAATTTTTCACCTGAGTCACAGAACACACAAAATGACTTGTCATTTTCTTGATTTTTGCCTAGGATAGAACAAAACTAGTACCAATCTAGATGCTTTGGAGAGAAGCCCATTCATTATAGATAGTAAATGTATTAGGTATTAGGGTTTAATTCTCTTATTTACCTAGGTTGACACAGACTAGATAATTCAGAACTATAATATGGCAAAGGTAGAATTTCACCTTTATGAGAAAAGTTTTTGGTTTTTTGTAGTAGTGCAGGCACAACTGGCTGTCCATCTGGGAGAAAATGAATTTGAACCCTTAGGTCACTTCATGTATGAAGTTAATTCCAGAAAAATTCAAAACTTAAATGTAAGAATGAAAACAAAAATCTTAGAAGGGGGCTTCCCTGGTGGCGCAGTGGTTGAGAGTCCGCCTGCCAATGCAGAGGACACGGGTTTGTGCCCCGGTCCGGGAAGATCCCACATAACGCGGAGCGGCTGGGCCCGTGAGCCATGGCCGCTGAGCCTGTGCGTCCAGAGCCTGTGCTCCGCAACGGGAGAGGCCACAGCAGTGAGAGGCCCGCGTACAGCAAAGAAAAAAAAAAAAATCTTAGAAGAAAATCTTGGATTCTATATGTAAAAATGTATGGATTGAGAATACCTTAAAGAAATCAGAAGACCCAGAAATTTAGTTTAATACAAAAAAAACAGGACAGATTATATCAATTGTAAAAGTCTTTTATTTGGCTTTTAAAAAAAAGATACTTTAAATACATTATGTCAATATACAGAAATTGATTTGAAAAAAATACTTGAAATACAAATGAAAAATATTTATGGCAATGATACACAGATGCGGTTCTAAACTAATAAAAAAAACAAAACCCCAGTAGAATAAAATAGCCAACGTTATGAATAAGTAATTCCTTTATGTGGAGTTCTGGAAAGGCAGCACTAATCTATAGTGATAGAAATCAGTCAGCGGTTGCCTGGGAAGTGAATGGGACTTGCTTTTAAGTGGGCGAGATGGAATTTTCTGAAGTAAAGGAAATGTTCTGTATCATAATGGAAATACATTGTCAAAGGTCTTTGAACTTTGTATTTTAAATGTGTGCATTTATACATGTAAACTATACCTCAGTAAAGTTGCTTTTAAAACTATAGTTGATACCCTTCAATGGTAATATTTTAAAGTGTGTTAGTGCCTATTGTAATTAGGGTAGGGCTGTTGGGCAAAAGGATGTTTTCAGACCTTTCTTGTAGAAAGGTGAATTTTTATAGCCTTTGTGGAAGCAACTTTGAAACATCTATTAAGGTAAAAATCATACCTCTCAATCCAGCAGTCCTATTTCACAGACTCTGTTCCATAGGAATAAAAGTCCCAGTATGTAAAAACATATATGTGAATGTTTGATGCAGAATTGTTCTTAGTGGCTAAAACCTGGGTACCAAATAAATGCCCATTAGTAGGGGAAGGGCAGATTGAATTGTGGAACATCTTTATTATATTATATAGCTATTTAAAAGGATGGGTAAGAGCTATATCAGATGAAAGGATTTCCATGAGGTATTGTTAAAGGAGAAAAGTATGACACACATAAGAAAACCAAATAGGCTTATTTCATTTTTGAAAAGCAAGTGCTCTAAAAACTGTAATGTAAAGAAACATGTTTTAATGTATTTGCAAAGAAAATCGTTCCAGATCATTAACATAGTTTACCTAGTGTGAAGGGCAGGATGTACAATGGGGTGGGAGAGGAGAGGAGGAATGGAGAGTTGAGCAAAAAAATAAAAAGGACTTAATTGGAAGACGTCAAAACAATACAGACACAGACAAAATAGCCTGTATTTGCAAGATTTCATGCATGTGCATAAACTAGGAGAAAATGTTAGGGTTTTATGTACTGACTTACAGAGATATTTTTAATATACATTCAAATTTTAGAAAGTATGTTACCAAGTAAAGTTTATAACACGATTATATTTTAGTAAATACAAGGTTCTCTGAAGATGAGTTCTTGTTAAATCTGAGTCGGAGCAACTGTCTTGTTTCAGATTTCTTTGACTTTCTCTGAAAAAGTTTCCAAAATATTTCTCTTGACTTTTAGGCTCCTTAAGTGGATATCCATTTATTTTAGAGTGTTAAGACCAATACAGAACAACAGTTGTGTAGTTCTCCTATTCCTTTCAGCGCCACCCTTTGGTCCTAACAGTTGGATGTTTCTGATGGTCAGATCTGCACAGACTGCAGAGTCCTTTTGCTACAGTGGTTGAGAGAATGAGAATTGAATAGTTCTATCTCCTTGGGTTTGCCAGGATTCCACTTGGTTTTTCACTAAAGAAAATTCAAAGAAGCACATTCAGATCTCAGCTGGTGTCTTTCAGCCCTCCATTTTTTTGTTCTGGCTGTACATTTTATGCTTTTATTTCACTGACTCTGGAGGGTGAGTATATATAGCTGAATTTGAGATGGGGCAAAGTAGTAGGGGTGTTGGTCTAGGAGAAACCCTGCATCTGTGGTCATCACTGGTTTAGATTTCTTTCAAATTATCATCTATACTTTTGTCACTGTTTGTGTTTTCTGTGGTCTTCTTACTTATAAAACTGTTTTTCACGCTCACATGAGGAGAAAGCAAGATTTGCGAAGTGAAAAGCTGTATCTTTTATTATACTGTCTTATTCCTCATCTTTGGAAAACTATTGTTCTCCATGTGTGTCTTATATATCCCCATAAACGTCTGTGTGTTTGCTACAGGAAGCTCTAAGAGTGTTTTCATTCCCTTCATTTACCTTTACCAACATAAGACTTGATACAGGACCCCTTGACCCCATTATAATTGATTAAAACAGAATATTTGGAATACCTTGGGATACACACAAACGTGTGCATACACACATGTATACCTAAAATAACAGAGCATCCAGAGCAAGATTCACTAATACTGTAACCACCCCATCTCATACTTAAATGTAAAGCATCTTATAATATCAGTCTTGTTCAACAAGACACCCAGTTCAGGGCATCTTATCACATTAAATGTTTTTAAGTCCAACAAGGCACCCAATTTGAGATCCAAATGATGCAAACAGTGTGGAATATCTGTATGATAAGCACTTCCAAAGATTATTTGTATCCCATTAAACTCATTTGAAGGTTCCTGAGAAGATTTAAAAATAATATAGCTCCAACTCTTGATTAACAAAACAAAACAAAAATACTGAAGACTCCTAAGGATAATCTACCTGGATGTGATCAAGAAACCTTTAAATTACTAATGTAGCCTTCATACTTATGTGCTACAAACTAACCACCTTTTGAAAAGCATTTTGGTAAATCATATTTTCTACTCTTGAGGCATTGACTTTTTGCATGGCCAGACAGTATTTATTTAGCTGTAAATATTTAAATAATCATTTAAATTGAGTGGAAAAAATAACATGCACACACAATAAATAATTACCCTTTTTTCCTGGGGATTTTCTGGAGAATTTATGAAACTTAAAAGATGGAGAGGGGGCTTCCCTGGTGGCGCAGTGGTTGAGAATCTGCCTGCCAATGCAGGGGACACAGGTTCGAGCCCTGGTCTGGGAAGATCCCACATGCCATGGAGCAACTGGACCCGTGAGCCACAATTACTGATCCTGCGCGTCTGGAGCCTGTGCTCCGCAACAACAGAGGCCACAATAGTGAGAGGCCTGCGCACCGCGATGAAGAGTGACCCCCACTTGCCACGACTAGAGAAAGCCCTCGCACAGAAACGAAGACCCAACACAGCCATAAATAAATAAATAAATAAAATAAATACATTGTGTATTAAAAAAAAAAAAAAAAAAAAAGATGGAGAAACTAAGATGATGAACTGGCATTAATAAATGTCAATAGAACCAAGGTAAGTATAGGAGAGTTAAGGCAATCAGCATGGGAATATTTTTAATGTGAATTATTTAACTTTTAAAACTTGGAGGAAATTGTAATTATTCAAAACACTAATTTTTTAGAAATTAAAACATCTATTTTAATTTTTTCTTTTTCTTTTTTTGGTTTTAAACAGGCCATATACTCCTTTGAAAGGAGGATTCTCCAATGTATGGTTTGACAGATTTCAAATATCTAATGACTGCCCAGAACACCTTGAATCAATTGATGTAATGTGTCAGGTGCTTACAGATTTGATTGATGGTGAAGTAAAATGTGGTATCAAGAAGAACAGGATACTAGTAGGTAAGATCTTTAGATGTTGAGAATTTAAATATTTTTTTCACTTTTGTGTAATTCTATACATTGAATTTTACTTGGAACATTATTTAGAAGCACTTTGTATGTCATTTGACCTATTCACAGTTTCAGATAAACTTTACATATTAAGAATTTTAAGGGTAATAGAATTATAAGCAAAAGCTCATGAAACTTTAAATGATTTTCTTTTTAATAATAACATACTTTAAGACTCCCGTGTAGGTTAAAATTTTCTTTCTACTTTAATTTTCAATTAAGAGATTATTCATTCCAGTTTTTAAAACATTTTATTTTATTAGCTTAAGTTTTATATGTTTAAACTACTATCACCATAATTAAGATAAATTAGAATACAGAGTCAAAATATAACATCAAATTCGTGAAAAGTAAACTCTTCGGAGTTAATATTGTAGGAATAAGGTATTCATAAACTTTTGTTAAACATGTCTTTAGCAGTCTCTCCTCCCAAGGGGATATAGCATGCCTTTACATAAGCTTTATTCTACTTACATCCCTTTCTTTTTCTGCAACCATAAAATACATAAAACTATTTTATAATACATACAAAAATAAGATAAACTGTATAGAATGTGAATGATACAGGATGGACTTTTGTTAGAGTTATTTCCAAATAACTATTTAATTTATAATGAGTTGTATTTAATGTTGAAATTATAAAGCAAATTAAGTATCTACATCATGTTCTAAATAACATTAAAATGTACATTGAAATCCTGTGTATACAGGATTTGGGCAAATTAATAAACTTCCTTTGTGTTTATTGAAGTACTAAACAATGAGTTGAGAAGCAATATGATATAATGGATGGAATACATTTTTCTGTCTTGGCTTCAGCATTCACTTTTGTTAGTTAAAAGCAGTGTGCCCTCCAGTGCAGTAACATCACCTTTCTGGGCCTCTGTTTCCTCATCAGTGTTTAACTCTATATTTCTATGTTTCTGTGTTTAACATCTGTGTCATAGAGATAAATACAGAATGTTATGGGAGTACTGGGAAGAGCATAGTGAAGGGGCACCAATTCAGTCTAGGGCATCATGAAACAGTTACAAGATAGAATTCAAAATATGTAAATGTGTAACAGATTCTGTCATTCAGTGATTTAGCAAATATTGTTTCTAAGTACTGTGTGTCTGGCAGTCAGTTAGATGCTCAAAGAGACACACCGGTAAATAGAACAGGGATGCCACAGTTGCTTACAACCTAGAAGAGCCCACGAGGTACTTAAAATGGTAACTGTAAGGCCAGCCAGCCTTGATGATTGCCCTAAAGCCATATAACTGACAGCTCTTCAAAGGGAATGATCATCTGTATTTATTTTTATTTCTCAGGACCCATCACAATGCCTAGCACAGAGCTAAACATTTATAATGAGCAGCATGACCTGATCTGTAAATTGATGACTTAAGTAGTTAAGTATCACAGGAATTCAGATGAAAAGAGGTCATAAGTATTTGGGGCTATTAGAGAACAATTTAATAGGAAAGTATCAGAGGCATCTGAGATTTTGAGACGTGCAAATAAATCAAATTTTAACTATTATAGTGTAGAGGTCTAAACATAGAGAGTAATATGAATGGTAAATAGAAGTAAAAAAAAAATAGTGCTTGTTTTTGTCTGTCTGGATGTTAGATGGCTTTAGCAGAAAGTTTTTTGTCTGACTGGAAAATGCCTATTGATCTGATAGCTGGACTAACAGCCTGAAGAGCATAATAGTATAGTGACCAAAATGGGTCGAATCTAAAGTCCACCACTGCCTAGCTGGTTCATCACTTAATTGCCTACACTGAATTTCTGCTGCCTCATCTGCAAAGTGGGAATAATAATACTATAAAAATACTATTTTACTGGGATATGATGTTTGTAAAACAGTTGGCTCATTTTACCCTCTCAATAAATACTTTCTGGTTCCCCTTTTATCCTTTATTCTGTAGGTAATTGAGGAGAGATGATTAAAGTATTCTTTGAGTCATATAGTTAGTTAGAACTGTGCTTTAGGAAAACTAACCTGGCAGAAGGGGTAAGTGAAGAGATAAAAATTGGGGTATGGTAAAACCAGTTACTGAATTTATGATTACAGGGTAATGAGATCCTGAAGTCATGTAATGACAGTGGGAAAACAAAATATTAGTACTATAAGAAATTGCTTTAAATTAAAATTATAAAATCTTCATACATAAAAACGTAGAAAATATACTAATCGTACTTCTAATGTATATGTGTTAAAGAACGTATCACATTGAACTGTAATTGCCTGTCTGCTTGTCTCTTGCCCCATCCCTCCTCCTTGTCCTTCCCTGTATCCATCAGTTATTTCATCTTATTCATCTTTGAAAAGAGGTTATGGATTGTTGTAAGGTCGGAGAGCTGATAAGAATTTTGAATCTGGGTTTACTTCAATTCAAAGCTCATGGTTCTTCCATTTAACTGAACGTTTGTAAAATTCTTAATACATCTTGTCAAATTGCTTTCGTGAAAAAACTGTACCAATTGATACGTCTCCCACCTATATTAGAATGTCCATCTTATTATACCTCACTGAATAATATTTTCTTGAAAAGTATTTGCTAAAAATAAGTAAACAAAAGTGGTAATTAATATGCACTTAATTTGTTATTTTTCTTTTAATTCTGTTTATGTTTTGACACAAGAAAGCTATTTTTACTCGTCTATTTTTTTCCAGATAATTTCTCAGTTTAAGAAGATATTTCTCTAGAACTTGAATATTCAAATAAGTGTTCTACTGGCTTTTCTATAATTTTTTAAATATTTAATTATTTGATTCATCTGGAATTTTTTTTAGTTTCTTTCTACCACATCATGGAAGGTTTTAATTATTTTCTGAAGTACCAAGAGAACCTTGTTAAAAGATGATCTTATTTATAAAGGAATCAGTAACGTAGTCAATGTTTTATCAAAGCTCCACTGAATTTGTAACAAAATTTCATTTTGGAAGGGTTATAAACTTTATATTATAAAATTATAAAATTTGAAATTTATTACAAAGTGTGAATAATAGGATATTTATATACACTTATGAATATAAAAATTGGGAAAGAAAAAAATGCTTTTTTAGGATTTGTGAGATGAGCTTATGAACTCCTATAAAGCCTCTTTCCTAGCTTGAGATATGAAAGAGACAACAGAAGTGCAGATCCAAGGTTGTTTGTCTTTGTTACTTTACTGTAGTTATTTAACCAGTCAATGAAAATAAATCTTCACTTACATTTCTGTAGAGTTAAACAAGTGTGCCAAAATACACTTGATTCTTGACCTTCTTTTATTATGACAAAACATTACTTATACTGCCTCCTTTTTCTTTACATGGATTAGCTATTGATACATAGAGGAAATAGCATTCTAGTCCTATAGGGATTTTCTCTTGTAGTTGTTTTTGTTTTTTTTTTTGTCTTATTGATCTAACTGAACTTCTCACTTATTTGAAAACATGGCACATGAAGCAAAATATCATTATGTATTCAAATATTTGTACATGCATTTCCTGAGTTGTGAATATCATAATTGCAAATGCATGAGTGCAACTGACAGCAGTATAACATGGTTAAGAACTTGGGCTCTGGACTCAGACTGCAGGTTTCTAATCTTAGATTCACTATTTTGTAGGTATATGAGTTTCCTTAACCTCTGTGTGCGGATGATAATAATAGTACTTATCTTACAGAGGTGTGATAATTCAATTAGTCAAATCATGTGAAATACTTAGAAATATGCCTGGCAGGTAATGTTGAAGAAATTTTCTTACTGTTATTAAACACTCTCTATACCACCTTCCCCATGGTCTCTCCAGACAACAGAAAGGCCGTACTGGACCAGTGCTGCCTGTGGAGACTCAAGGAGCTCATTGTTCCTTCCCTACCTGCTGTTTTCTTTCCTCAGTAGTATACGTGCAGTGCTTCCCTCTTTCTTTTTCATTGCTCATAGATTCTTTAAACAGAAGTTACTGCTTCATATTTTTCTACTGGTTTAATCCTTTTGTCAAGTGTCTATTATAGAACATTCTAAATTAAGTAAGATTTAAATGCTATTTATAACATTTTAATGAAGGAGGGATCCAGTGGAACGTCAAAGCAAAGTGCATTTGAGATGCTAGACACACATATACAAACAACATAGGTTATTTAAAAAAATTAATTATAAGAGGAAAAACTAGAAAAATTAGAAGATTAAAAAGGAAAGGGACTTCCCTGGTGGAGCAGTGGTTAAGAATCTGCCTGCCAGTGCAGGGGACACGGGTTCGAGCCCTGGTCTGGGAAGATCCCACATGCCGCGGAGCAACTAAGACCGTGTGCCACAACTACTGGGCCTGTGCTCTAGAGCCCACGAGCCACAACTACTGAGCCCACACGCCACAACTACCCACACACCTAGAGCCCGTGCTCTGCAACAAGAGAAGCCACCACAATGAGAAGCCCGCGCACCGCAACAAAGAGTAGCCCCCGCTCGCCACAACTAGAGAAAGCCCGCAGGCAGCAATGAAGACCCAATGCAGCCAAACATAAATAATAATTTTTTTAAAAAAAGGAAAAAATAGAGATAATAGTACAAAATTGTTATCCTTGTTGATTTTGTTTAATATGTGATAAAATTTCAGATATAATATCACACATTGTGTCCTCATGGAACCCTTTTCTCTGAGATTGTAATTTTAACCAATATAGCTTTGTAAACAAAACTATTCTCTATGTTTGAGTAGGTGGCAGCCCATTCTTTTTCTGTGGTTTTATTTTGATTAGTGATATTTTATTATATTAAACTTAGTTTAAAAACAATGTTTTTATAGAGTATGATATACCACCTTTTCTAGGTAGTTTACACAGCTTAGGTCAAAAATGAAACTTCTCATACTAAATTTAATTTCCAAATTGTTAATAAAACTTAAGTGCTGGAGTACCAAAAACTGTCAAAATCTTTACAGTATAATGAGGGAGATAACAGAAGTAAAGTGTTCTAAAGAACAAGTCGATTTTGGGGGGAGCTAGGAACTGCTTCTCAGAAGAGATAATCTCCAATTGAGTTTTAAAGAATGAGTGAGAATATGACTGGTAAACAAATAGGGAAACACATTCATGAAAGAAAACAAGGAACACATTAAAATCTCTCAGGAACTACTAGTTTGATATGCGCTTCAACTCCTAGGATTATTGAATTATATACAGAGAATGACATGATCAGATGAGCATTTTTAAAAGATTACACTGACAACACTGTGGAGGCTGACTAGTCTGAAGTCCGGGGGAATAGGAAGATGGCAAATGCAGTATAGATCCAGTAGAATGATGAAAGACCAACACGTACAGTGTTTCACGACTTTGGAAACAAAGGATGAGTAAGATTACACTAAAGAACATTGCAGTCAACTGCAAGTTTAGCTAAGAAAAATCCTTTGTTTTCTTGTTTTCAACAATGGAAGTATATTTCTTAATGGAAAGAATAAACTTTGCTTAGAAAGGAGGAACTGGGCAAAAGCTTTAAATGTGTTCCTTGGACATTCGTGAATCCTTACTATGCATATTAAGAAGATCAGATATAAGAAAGTTTATTTATTTTTATATAATAATACCACACATGATTCTACGGAGGGTATGGTGAAAATTAGGGGAAACACAGGCAATAAAATAGTGACTTTTAAATTACTTTCTGAATTTGACAACATAGCTGTTGTTAAACCTGGATTCAGATTCTGTATTCTGAGAAAATTATTAAGAATATAGTTTAACACTATAATGTGTTTAAATTATACACATTTTTTCATATACAGTATCTTTCTTGACCCTTGTAATAGGTGAATAGGAAATTATTCTCATTTCAGATAAGAAGAAACTAAAGTTCAAAGAGACTGCTGGCTAAAATAGAGTGGGACTAGAACCCAGATCCTATGCATTGACTTAGGAACTTTGTACCATAATGAGATTCCTTTTTCTAACCACTAGGTGGTGATAATTTGTTGTTAAGAGAAAACTGACATAATTTAGATTTAACTTTGATCTAGGATGTATAGAACCTGACAAATGATAATGACCAGATTATTGGTATAGTTTTTCATGTTCTCTGATAATATTATCAGAATTTTGAAGCAGGGATAATCAAGTGCTTCTGGAATTACACCTGAATAATTTACATGGATGCTCTACATACCCATTATGATGCTCTAAATACCCATCATGAGGAAAGCGGTTAAGGGAGTAATAGTCTGTTAATACAACTGACTATTATGTAACCATTATATACTATATACATACATTTAGAAGGTACTTAGTATACTTAGTATGTGTTCAAGGAGTAAAAAAATAATTATGGAATTTTGTAATTCTGTTTAAAGACATTCAAATCAGTATTACATGAAAGTAAGGTATAAAATTGTACATATAGAGTGAGTTTAACTGTTAAAATGAATTTTCAAAAACATGTCAAAATTATATGTGAGTAGTGAGATTTTGGATAATGCATTTTCTTTATTTTTGTGTGGTGGAAATACTTTACACAGTGGACATATATTAACATATTAATTTTATAATAAGATTTAAAATTAAAATGAAGGGATAGTTGCAGTTACCAAGATGAAACCTAGCTCCACAATTTCCAGGCTGACTTTCCTGACATTATATAAGTTTCTTTTGAAGCTCTTGGAGGGAAAACTGGAGAATGATAGCATCCTTCTACTTTCTTTTAACATATATATATCTTAAATAACGTACGTTTCTTCAGCAACAACTATCAGAACTTTTAATGCTTGGGACTGCTGTTTTAATAGCTTTCCATAGAAAATAATAAATATTTTGTTTACTCTGTCAATTTTATATGAGAGAAAATATACAAATATGGTGGGCATAATTTATATATTCCCAAATTTTTGAGACTTTATCACAGTTCATTCTGAAAAATAATTATATATAAAGTGGAAAAATTGTTGCAATTTGGTTGGAGGGTGGATTTTATTCCATTTTTAAAATCCCATTCAATTGACGGTAAACTTGAATTGTAAGTTCCCTGCCTCCCCCCCCCTCACCCCCCCGCCCCCGGACTTTGTTTTCAGATAGATTAGCTTAGTTTTCCCAGTACAGTTTTTATACATTATTACTGTTTTATTTAATTTAAAAAGTTCATAAAAACTAGGTTATTTTTTTAACATGTTTTTTATTCAGCCTGTTAATCTTAAATGTATGTTGAAATGTTAACTCTTGACATTTTAATGCTTCACCAGTGACTATAAATATACATCATAACTATTACCTACAATGAGTTTACTCTTTGGTATTTACTTATTGAACAGTATATTTTATATTGCATTTTAAACACTTAGATGAAAATTGAATTGAAATAACTAGTCTTTTGTGTTAAATTTTCTTCCATTAGAAAAAAATACATAAAGTCCCTTTCACACCGGTGTCCGCAATGTTAAAGGTGACTGTATTGTCAAAGATCGCTGGTGAGGAATTGCAGGCTACCTCACGAGATTATAAATGGACAAGGAACTTAGATTGAATCTTAAAATAATGAGTTTTCAACGAGTACATTTTTCTTCATTATAAATTAGGAGAATTGAGCATGAGGTTAAATGTCTCAAGGATGCCTTTGTTCATAATGGCATTTCATACGTGGGAAAGTGTTTTCTTTCTTAGTTTTGTTGCTGTTCTTGTTGCTGTTCTGGCTGTGAGGCTGGTCCCCCCCGAGGGGCTTGGAAATCCCATAAAGTGATTAAGCTACCCTAGTCAGTAAAAATGCAGTGATGGGGTAGGTGCATTTAATGTGTAAAAATTTTCTCAGTAGGTGTGCTTTTATAATAATTTTTAAATATGTTTTTGCTCACTGGTCTATTTTTATTCACATTTTATCTTTGTATGATTTTTAAAAAATCTTTATCACATTAAAAGATCACATTTAATGATATTAGCCACATTATGTTTTTTATGGAACATTAATTTCATTTTGCTCCATTTATGAAATTTAAAGCTTTTTTTCCATCATTGGTGCAGCTTAGATTATCTAGAACTTCATTGTCCCATATGATAACCCCTAGCCACATGTATTTAAACTCAAATTTTAACTAGGTAAAATTAAAGTAAATGTTTAATTCCTCAGTCATACTAGTCCCATTTAATATGTTACTTAGGTACATTTGGCAAAAAATATAACTCAAGCTCTTGAATTTCTCCAAAAATTAAAGACTGTGTTCCTACAGCCTTGTTATCTCTAACATATGGATTTCTTTTAAATCATGAGATGTCTTTTAACTCTCAGTCATGCTGGGGAATATCACACGGAGTCTCTAAGCTGAAGCTGGGCCATCCTCTCTGCTATGTCACGTCAGGTACCTACCTCCATATCCTGTGTTGTGTCGGTTTTCGCCTTTGAACAGAAGGGTCCAGGTATTTTAATCTGCATATCTCTGGTGACTGGTGTCACTCCAGTGACAGTGTTTGGCACATAAAAGACAATAAAGTTTGTCAAGTGAATATTTTTTTCCCAAAACTCTTTTTTTAAAAGGACATATGTTTGAATTATACCATCACAAGTCAGTTTTCAAAATAATATTATAATACAAAGATGTTTTATCTTTCTCACCGAGTGTTTGATCATCCTTCCTAATTCAGAGATCACTAAGCATCTATTATATGGCAAACTCTAGAAATATAATCCTCGTGGAGCTTATAGCTTGGCAAGTAAGACAGAAAGGTGCATGTTATTAATTGTAGCTGCAGTGTGAGGACTCCTATAAGTATAAATAAAATGTAAGTAGACACTAGAAGTTTAAATAAATAACACTTGTGCTATGACTCATATTTTGAAATATAATAAATATTTTTACTTGATGACCAAGATTTCTTTTTTCAATTCTAGCTCCTTTTATAACAAATTATTATACCAGTGATGACATAGATAGAACAGTGTTATTTACTCATAGCAGGTTTTTTTCCATGAGATCTAAAGTAGGCTAAATTTCTCTTTAGCATTGTATCTCTTTTAGGTCTCCAAATATTTATGGAAGACTGGCATAGCTATATCTTGTTCTAAATTATCATTACATATATTCTGCTTTTTCTGATAAGTGAATTTTTGCTTCTTTTAGGAGGATTTTCTATGGGAGGGTGCATGGCAATGCATTTAGCATACAGAAATCATCAAGATGTGGCAGGAGTATTTGCTCTTTCTAGTTTTCTGAATAAGACATCTGCTGTTTACCAGGTAAGTTCCAGATTTTAAAAACAAAACAAAACAAAAAAATGAGACATTCACATACTGAAACTAAAACAACATTGATAATTACACAATAACAATTGATTCACAGAGCATTCCTGGGAATTCACATTAGTTATATTGATAAATTCCAGCTGGTCATTCATGTTTAGGAAGTGCCTTGTACAGAGATTATTGTTAAGCAAAGTGTCAAAGAGAAAAGGATAAAAAATATGTGTATGCTATATATGTATCCTGCATACATATTAAAAATATAGATGATTACAACTAGGTTTGCTTACTATGTCATGAACATAATCAAACCAAAGAATCAGTTACATGGCTGATACCTATTTTTCAGCAATATCCTGGTTTATGAGTATGGCATATTATAGTGCTGCAGCCTCATTACCAGAAGTAGAACCAGTAGGTACGGAAATGAGAACAAGAATGCTATTTTTTCCTTGATTGTACCTGCGCTCTGTGTTCCTCCCTCTTTCCACTCCATGTGAAGAGGTTTGTCTTCCCAAGACACAAGGTTTCTTCGGGAAATGCTTTGACCATTTTTGAGAAGTCCTCTACGGAGTAGATTCAGATCATGTACAACTGCAGCTCCAGTGGTGCCAGCAACCAGCTAAGCTCCTGGTCCTGGCCCATCAATATATACCTCAGAGAGCTCTACCACTGCCTCTTTTTCCCCTTTAAATATTGAAGCTTTGGTTAAATTGGAGTTTTTCTGCCCCCTCTGATTTCTAAGAATAATGTTCTTAAATGAATTTCTTAAACTTCTCCATTTTTATGTTCTCTTCTCTAGGCTCTTCAGAAAAGTGATGGTGTCCTTCCTGAATTATTTCAGTGTCATGGTACCGCAGATGAGTTAGTTCTTCATTCTTGGGGAGAAGAGACAAACTCAGTGTTAAAATCTCTAGGAGTGAGGACAAAGTTTCATAGTTTCCCAGGTGTTTACCATGAGTTAAGCAAAGCTGAGCTAGAAAAACTGAAGTCATGGATTCTTACAAAGCTACCAGACTGAATGAGTCGGTTGATTTGTTAATACATAAGTAATGTCTATGAAAAGTGATTTTTACTGCCAAATTCTAATTTGATAAACAATAATTAAAATATTAAAAAATATCAGCAGTTTACTGACTTATTTATTAGTTATTGAAATGCTTAGCACCATAGAGAGTAGTATAACCTTATTAATCGTTAACATTAATTTAGGCAAACATCTGTGTATTATTTGTCAGATACATTTTTATAAATATTTGAAGGTCTTGTAAGTAAATATTGAAATATTAGAAAGTAATTAAACTAGCTTAAATAAAGGCAATGAGAAACCAGGAAAAGTTTTAACATGATATTATTTTATCTTTGTTATCACTTTCTTTAAATTGCCTTTCCAGAGATATTCATTGTTCGTGTAGTTTTTGACAGAATAACATTAGTACCCCACATTTATAGAGTACTTTCCCGTTACCTCACCTGATCATCACAAGAGCTTGATGAAGTAGACTGAGTATTTGTTACTGGTATTTTGTAATAGGGATTGAAGGATTGAAAACTTTCCCAAAGCCTCAAGAGTGAAAACTAGAATCCAGACCTTCTGGTCCCAGTAGAGCTCCCTTTCTCTGAGACCAGATTGCTGCTCTGCTCCAGTCCTAGGGTTCTGGTTGCTCTTCAGATCCTTGTCACACTCAGTATGGCCAGTCTTTTCAATTTTATCCATTCTAGTGGGTATACAGTGGTAACACTTTGTGGTTTTAGTCTGCATTTTCCTAAACTAATGATGTTAAGCAATTTTTATATGCTTATTTGTGATCTGTATAAATTCTGATGATATCTCTATTCAGATCTTTTGCCCATTTTTTATTAGGGCATTGTAAGAGCTTGCATTGTAAGAGCTGTTTATATATGCTGGATAAAAATCCTTTGTTAGCCAGATGTTTGACCTTTTTTTTTTTTTCTTAGTCTGTGGCTTGCCTTATTTTCTTTACAGTGTAATTCAAAAGAGCAGAAGTTTTTAATTTGATGACGTCCAGTTTATTCATTTTTTTTTCATTTATACTTTGTGCTTTTGATGTCATATTTAAGCAATCTTAAGAAATCCTAGGTCACTAAGATTTTCTTTTATATTTTCTTCAACTAATACACTCCTTTAGTGCTATAAATCTTCCCTCAAGTATTATATTAGTAACATCCCAGGATCTTTTATATTCTGTGTTTTCATTTTCATTCAGGTCAAATCTTTCTAAATTCCCTTTTGATTTCTTCTTTAACCCTTGGGTTACTTAAAATTGTGTTATTTTGTTTCAGTATATTGGGAATTTTCTAGAGATCTTTGCTATCGATTTCTAAGTTAATTCCATTGTGGGTCAAGAGAGCATACTTTGTATGGCTTGAAACCTTTTAAATTTATTGCGACTTGTTTTATAGCCCTGAATATGGTCTACCTTGGTAAATGTTTTGTGTGCACTTTAGAAAAATATGTATGATGCTAGTGTTGGGTGGAGTGTTCTCTACATATCAAGTCAGATCAAGTCAGATTATCTTGGTAAATGTTTTGTGTGCACTTTAGAAAAATATGTATGATGCTAGTGTTGGGTGGAGTGTTCTCTACATATCAAGTCAGATCAAGTTGGTTGATATCCTTGTTTAAATCTGCTATATCCTTGCCGATTTTCTGCCTGCTTGTTTTATAAATTATTGAGAGGGGAATATTGAAAGTTCCAAGTATAACTGAATTTGTTTCACTTTGCCATTCCCTCGGTTTTTGCTTCATGTACTATGAGCCTCCATTATTAGATGCGTAAACATGTAGGACTATTATGTTCCCCTGATGAACTGGCCTCTTCTTCTTTATGAAATAATCATCTCTATCTGTGATAGAGTTTTTTGCTCTGAAATACTCATTGTGTGATATTGATATAGTCCTTCCAGCTCCCTTTAGACTAGCATCTTTTTCCATACTTCTCTTTTAACCTATTTGTGTCTTTATCTGTAAAGAGCAATTCCATCAGCCAGAATAGAGTTAGGCCTTCCTTTTCTATCCAATATGGTCATCCCTGCTTTTTAATTGATTATTTAGAACATTTTAATGTGATTGTTGGCATGTTTGGATTTCAAGCTACCATCTTAACTGTTTATTTTCTCTATATTCCATCTCTTCTTCTTTGCTCCCTTATTCCTCTCTTTCTACTCGCCCTTTTTTTCTTGGATTATGTGTTCTTTTGCTGGCTTCTTAGGTATGATACTTTGTACTTTTAATGATTACTTTAGGGTTTATAGCATATAACTTTTATAATCTTTTTTAAATTTTGAAATAATTATAAGCTCACAGGAAGTGTTAAAGATAGTACAGAGGAGTCCCATGTACCCTGTGCCCAATGGTTGCATCTTACGTAACTATAGTATAATGTCAAAACCAGGAAACTGACATTGGTACAATGTGTGTGTATAGTTATGTGCTATTTTTTCACATGGCTGCATGGATTCATGTATCCACCACTACAATCAATATGCAGAACTGTTCCATCACCACAAAGATGCCCATTGTGCTGCCTATAGTCATATCCATCCCTTCCTCTGTCACCATCTAACCCATAACAACCACTGATTTGTACTCCATCTCTATAATTGGACATTTTGAGAATGTTATAGTAGAACTACTTTTCTACTTTTTGAGATTGACTTTTTTCACTCCATCCAAATTGTTGCAACCATCAATAGTTTACTTCTTTTTATTGCTGAGTAGTATACCATGACATGAATGTATTCAGTATTATAGTTTGTTAAACTGTTCTCCAATTAAAACAATTTTTTTGACTATTACGAATAAAGCTGCTGTAAACACTCTTGTATAGATTTTTGTCTAGACGTAATTTTTTTTCTCTCTGGGATAAATACCCAGGAGAGTGATTCCTGGGTTGTATAATAAGTGTATGTTTAAGAAACTACCAGACTTTTCCAGAGTAGCTGTGCCATCTTATATTCCTACCAGCAAGGCAGGAGAGATAAATATTCTCTACATCCTCATCAGCATTTTGTAGTATCACTATATTTTTTAATTTTAGCTGTGCTAATAGGTATATAATGAAATCTCATTGTGGTCAAAATGTGCATTCCCTAATGGCTAGTGATGTTGAGTCTGTTTTCATAAGCTTATTTGCCATCTCTATATCCTATTTGGTGGATGTTTCTTCATGTCTTTTGCCCATGATCAAATTGGATTTTCTTTCTTGTTTGTGTTGAGTTTTGAAAGTTTCTTTTAATATCTTCTAGATGTGAGTCTTTTCTTAGATATATAGTTTTCAAATAGTTTTTCACTGTCTGTAGCTTGTCTTTGCAACTTCTTTTTTTTTTTTTTTTTGCGGTACGCGGACCACTCACTGCTGTGGCCTCTCCCGACGCGGGGCACAGGCTCCGAACGTGCAGGCTCAGCGGCCATGGCTCACAGGCCCAGCCGCTCCGCGGCATGTGGGATTTTCCCAGACTGGGGCACGAACCGTGTCCCATGCAGGGGGGCGGACTCTCAACCACTGCGCCACCAGGGAAGGCCCTGCAACTTCTTAGGTCCTTTTATGCAAAAGTTCTAAATTTTAATGAAGTCCAGTTTACTGACTTTTTCTTTCATGGATTATGCTTTTGGTGTTAGTGAGCTATTGTGAGTTAATTTTTGTATAAGGTGTGAGATTTAGGTTGACATTCATTTTATGTTTTTGCCTATAGATACCAAGTTGCCCAGCACTGTTTGGTGAAAAAACTATCCTTCCTCCATTGAATTATTTTTGTACCTTTATCAAAAATCAGTTGTCTGTTGCTTGTATGTCTGTTGCTTGTTTATCTGTTCTGTTCCATTGATCTCTGTGTCTGTCCACATAACATTAATTACTGTAGTTATATAATTCTTGCAGTCAGGTACAGTTAATTCTTCCTAATTTATTCTGCTTTTCAAAATTGTATTAGCTATTTTAGTTCCTTTCCTTTCCATATAAATTTTAAAATACACTTATCTATATCCACCCAAGAAATCTTGCTGGAATTTTGAAAGGAAGTGTGTTAAATTTGTATAACAATTTACAGAGAATTGACATCCTTTCCATATTGAATCTTCCAATTCATGAACATGATATATTACTCCACTTATTTAGGTCTTCTGTAGTTTCTTTCATTATTTTTTTGTAGCATTTAACACGCAAGTTCTGTACATGTTTTGTTAGATTTGTACCTGAGTGTTTTATTTTTTGAGGAATTATAAATGGTACTGTATTATTAAATACAGTTTCCCTGTGTACATTGCTAGCTTATTGAAATACAGTTGTTTTCTGTGTGGGTGTCTTATATCATATGATCTTGTTTAGGTCAGTTACTAATTCGAGGAGGTTTTCTGTAAATTCCTTGGAATTTTCTTCAAAGAAAATGTCACTTGCAAATTGGAATCAATTTATTTCTTCCTTTCCAAATGAAGTCCTTGTATTTCCTTTTCGTTGCTTATTACACTGGCTAGAACTTCCAGCACCATGCTGGATGAGAACAGTGAGAGCAGACATCCTTGTCTTGTTCCCAGCCTTAAAAGCATTCAGTCTTTCATTAGTAAATATGTTAGCTATAGGGTTTTTTGTAGATGTTCTTTATCAAGTCAATGAAACTCCTCTCTATTCCTAGTTTTCTAAGAGTTTTTATCGTGAATGGTTGTTGAATTTTATCAAATGCTTTTTCCATAACAAGGGATAAAATTATGTATAATTATTAATAATATAATTTATTATATTATAATTATTAATTATTATAATTATTAATAATATAAAATTATTCTCTTTAGCCTGTTAATAATATGTTCTTCTATATCTGGTATGTGTTTTTACTCTTGCTGTTTTTAAGAGTTTCTCTTATCACTGATATTGAGCAATTTGATTATAACATATATTGGTATAGTTTTTCATGTTTCTTATCCCTGGGTTCCTGCTAATCTTTTTAGGTGGTTCTTTCTGGTGCCAGATAGTTTACTCTGTGAGTACTCCAGGTGGACCATCTCTAGATCTCTGGAGTTCTGTCTCTGTGAAACTTACTCTTCTCTGGTACTCTGTCCTCGCAATTCTAGCCAACATCATCTACTCAGACTCTTAGCTCTGC